TAGAATTGGCGCGTTTGCCCTTGATGGGCCCATGGACGGGTGCAGGTAGGTGTTGAACACCGTGATCACAGGCCAGCCAGGAAGTTCAACTTCAACCTTCTGCAACCTGCCTGGTACTGCATCTTCTTTGGAAAACACCCGTGGACGTAATCCAAGTCCAGCTCGAACGGAGACAGCAAATCCAGCATGAGTGTCCACTCCAGCAGTGGTAGTGGATGCTAGTGCGCTCGTGCTCCAATTTCGAACTCCACGCCGCGCATCAGGCGCTTCTCAATCTTCAGGTAGATGCCCGATCTCCTGCGTCAGAATAACCTGCGCACTGCGGCGCTCCAATCTTTTCTATGCAGTTCGCGTTCTTCCATTCGCATTGAAGGTCTCGAAAGCACGCGTTGGAACACTACCAAGCGTCTTGGCATCTGGAACTGTGCCACTCTGCGAAAGTTGAATGCCTGAAGCTCCAGGCTGATCAAACTCTGGCGGCCTCTCCATGGACATCCTCGACGAAGGAGCACCCGTCTGCGACCATGATGTGCCGTTGCTCGCCCCGCCTCCCAACTCAGCCTCCGCGCGTCCGTGCTGCACCCCGCGCGCTTCGCGTGGGCGGAGTGCGGAGGGTGAGGAGATCTGGGCGGCATCGGCCATAGCCAGGCCGCTTCCTCCATCATCAAAGACGGAAGAAGCGAGAGACTCTGTGTGACTACCTGAGATTCGTCCAGTCTGCAGACCTTGGGCCCCAACCTGAACACCGTCACGCCGTGGAGTGGTCAGTGGGCTGTGCCTTCCTTGGGGAGAGGGCATTAGGGTGCTCCTGGAGCTGCTCCCCCGTCCTCCCCTGGCCTCACTGCCGCCCCTCTTTCTCGCTTGGCTGGGGCCCAGGGCCCCCTGCTTGCCTGCTCGGCGCGGCCAACTTCTGTTAGGAACGCTTCGCTCTCTTGGCTGTGAACTCAGCAAGCGTGGTTTTGAATGAATTCTGATCATTGGCCAAGGCGAACAGCTGCTCTTGTTCTCCTTCGCTGAACAACAAATCAAACTCCCTTTTGACGCCGCCAAGGGGGTGCTCCAGGCTCTGCTTGTCCACCGACGCCTGAATCCCCAGCAGGTGCATGCCCAGCAGAATCCACATCCTTGTGCACTTTCTTGGCCAACAACTCCTGTAGTTGCGTCCAATCTGCACTCTTGAGAAACCTTCCAAGTCTTTGGGTACTTTGTCTTCCTCTGTGAACTCGAAGAGCTTCGAAAAATCAGGCTGCTCCGCCGGTGTAGCCGTCTCTGGAGTGACAATCTTTGCCGTCTCCGTGAACTCGATCTGCAATTGAGCAACCTCTTCTTTGCAATGATCTCATCCTTACGCTTCTCGATGAATTCGTGCAACCCTTTAAACTGCTTCTCTTTCTCTGCTAGCTCCTCTTCCATCTTTTGAAGCCTTTGCCCTGGTGTGATCCTGAGAGGCTCGACGGTGTGCTGTGGTGGGAGAGCGCAGCTGTTTGTGCTGGCCGCGCAACTCCTTGATCCGATATTCAATGGGCTTCTTGAGACCTTCATCGCTGGTTCGAAAAGGCTTGACCACATCCTCGTGCTCGTTGATCTCCAGCATGATCCTGTCACGCTTGACATTATCTGGCTCGTTGCCTTTGTCTCCATCTGCTTGCGGCTCATCAAGCTTGATTCATGGCGGCTTTGCCCCAATGCTTTGGGTCTGAGGTGGCTTATCTTGCTTCTCGGGCTGCATGGCTTGAAGTACTTGCGCACGCTGTGACTCGAGCCGCTGCAATCTGCTCGAATCCTCACTGCCTCCTTTGCCGTGTCCACCTTTGCCCCCTTTACGTTTCCCTTTGGAAGGGGCGTTGGCTGTCCACTGCGCTGCATTCTCCTTCGCCTTGTTCTGGCTCCTGGACGGAGCTGGGTTGCCGCACTGACACACCAGTCGACTCGCCCAATTTTGTGATGCCCCGCACCTGCTGCACCCCAGTACTGGGTACTTCGGTGACCGATGTTTTATGTGCGTTTGGGATTCTTTTGGGGCCTTCCGAGGCCTCTGCTGCAGTTGGCGTGGACTGGCAAATCTCGCCACGAGAATTGAATGAACTATTGCAACATTCTGGCAACTTCGCGCCTTCAGAGACCTCCGGATTGGTAGACCACGCGCTCCCCGACCAATCACGTCAGGGGCGCTTAACGACATCGCTGTTTGACGGTGTCGTGGATTCAGATGCCACATACCCGACGTTCGCAGAAGATCCCGCAGGGAACACGCCGCTTGCTGAAGCACGGGCTAGAACGACATGGGCGGGTACGCACTGGCAAGTAAACGATGTGTGCATGAAATCCTGAACCCACTGCCCTCCCTGCCCAACCCTCCCTCTTCCCGTTTGTTTGTCTCTTCCTCCTACTGTTAATGCTGCTCCTCCTGATCCTCCTCCTCCTCCTCCTCCTCCTCCTACTGTTCATGCTCCTCCTCCTTCTCCCTCTTCCTCCCTCCTTCCCTCACACTGAAGGTTTTCTGGAGCATTCGCGAACTGGTGCCACGCATTCTTGTTAGGAACCGCGTCTCTGGACAACTGCGGTGTCCAGAAGGCGCACGGTTCGGACTCCTGCGCCCAGGTGCCATGTAGGCCACATACAAACTCTGCACATTTCGCGGTGCCATGTAGGCACTGTGCTGGTCAGGATGCCAATCCCTGTCGCTGGACATGGGTATTTCGCCCTCGTTCTGGGGGATTCACTCGATATCCGCGAAGGGGCGTCAAACAGCAGAGACAGGCGCCGTGCCTCAGGACATCGGCGGTTTCCAGTGGGCGCGCGGCTCGGGGCTTCACATCTTGGCGAATTGTAGGCGCCGGCCTTGTTCTGGACACTGATGGCGTCACATTTGCAACGTGTGGGCTTGGATTCAACATGTCAATGGACGAGCATTGGCATCCGTTCCTCATGGCTGTTACTGGTATACCCGTCCCTATCGACGGACAGACACGGTCATCCCGCCCTCAGAGTGGGGCTCGTCTGAGCAGCTGCGAGCAAGTGCCACGCACGCGTTCGTGGTCGGCGCCAGTTGCCGCCGAGCACCGTCGGGGAAATCCATCCCTATCGATTGTCAGGCAGTGGCACCCGACCCCCTTACGAATACCTGACGTGGGGATGTAGAAACTGACCTTCGGCCAAAACTGTTTGAGCACGCGCGTACTTCCATCCTATAGCTTTACGCCGTCCCGCTCTATTGTTCCAGCCCGTTCTGTAGGCCAAGCTACCCTCGTGTTTCGTAGACCGAGACCGTGCGGTACAAATCAACCTGGGGTTCCTCCGCCATCTTAGCTCGCGTTACACTTGAATTTTGGGTGTGTCGACTTTTCTGTTTTTCCCGCAGTCTGGCTACAGCCAATTCGAGCCTTTGGTTCGTATGCCCAATGGCAGCACTGCGCCATCGGGCGCTCGGGTCAAGCTGAACTGTCCCACTCCAGGCAGGACGCTGTAGTTGGATAGGCCCGCTGGTCTTTCCGGGAAGCCTCCAGCAATTCTCTCCTTTTGTCCAATCGTTGCCCGAGCTTTGGATGGCATGCTGGGGAGGTACACCAAGTCGCTGATCCCACCAACGGGGCTAGGGCGCCGCAGCGCCAGATCACTGCAGGTCCACCTCCTCCTCCTGCTCCTCCTTTTCCTCCTCCTCCTCCTCCTCCCCCTCCTCCTCAATTCCTCTTCCTCATACATAATTTCTCCCTGTCGCACCCCGAGGCCAGTTTGAAGGCGGACCGGGGGATTCGCCTGACACTGTCTCACCCTTTATGACTCTGAAGCTCAAACTTGGAAACAATTTCACATATGGAGGGCGGGTGGTTTTCAAAATGTGACTTTCACGGAGTGAAGGCGGCTCCATTTCAACATGTGGCTCTCGCCGTAGCGCCGCGCACATTCGTTCATAGAGTTCGCAAGAGTTTCACGGATCGAAAATAACCCGTTTTCGCATACCGTGGCTCTCGCCTGCGCGCCGCGCACATTCCTTTGTACAATTTGTAAAAGTTTCACGGATTGGGGGCGGTCCCTTTTCAAAATGTGGCTCTCGCATTAGCGCCGCGCACACTCGCTCGAAACAATTGCAAGAGTTTCACGGGTTCCCGCGATCAACGTACCACAACTGGTGTTTTGGACGGATTCAAGATTTTGCGGGTGTTGCAGTTACGTTGGTTCGCGGTGTTGAAATCCAAAGAATCACGTTCTGGCGCGATCCAGGAACGCAGCAATGAAGTATACAAGGGGTTGGAATCCCGAGAACAATGTTTTGGCATGCTTCCAATTTTTCCACCGGTTGTCTACCAACGAGGCAGATCCCTCAATGGAAGTGAACCGTTGTAGGGCCTATGAAGAGGGAGCTTGGAGGGAGGGTGTATCCCAACATCGTTGATGGCTCTCGGGTTTACACTGGTCCTCCTCCTCCTCCTCCTAATCCTCTTCCTTTTCCTCCTCCTCGTCCTCCTCCTCCTCCTTTGCAACCTCCATCGTGAGCCTGCTCCTTCCCCCTCCCCATCCTACCTCACTTCCCCCTCACCCTCTCCTCCTCCTTCTCCTCCTCAACCTCCTCCTCCTCCTCCTCCTTCTTTTCCTTTTCCCTTTCTTATTATACTCCTCTTCCTCCTCTTCCTTCTCCTCCCCCTCCTCCTCCTCTTCCCCTTCCTCCTCCTCCTCTTCTCCTTCCCTCGTCCTCCTCCCTCGTCCTCATGCCACGTGCTCCCCATGCTCCTCCTCGTCCGCCTCTTCCTCCTTCTTCCTCCTACTCCTCCTCATCCCCCCCTCCTTCTCCTACTCCTCCTGCTCCTCCTCCTCCTCCTCCTCCTCCTCCTCCTCATCCTTCCTTATTCCACCTTCTCATTCTTCTTCACCTCTCCCTATTCCCTCCTCCACGCGTCTCGTCCTTAACTTACGTTTTCCCCCTCTGTCCTTCCTCCTCCTCCCTCCTCCCTCCTCCCTCCTTCCATCCCTTACTCACGCGCTGCCCTCTCCCACTGGCCCTCCTGGCAACGGCGCGAGCGGTAAGATCGTCGTCTTGCTGGTCACGGTCGTGGTGGTCACGGCCGTGGTGGTCACGGACGTCGTCGATGGCCCGGTCGTGCTGGTCACGGTGGACGCTTCTGCCGGACAGGGCTGCCAGAGGTGGGCGGAGCAGGGCGGAGGGAGGAGGGCGGAGAAATAATTTCGAGAGTCGAGGAGGAGGAGGAAGAGGGAAGAGGAGGGGGATCGATGCTGTTTGGGTGCTTCCGGTTCTTCTTGAGCCTCGGGGGACAAGCCCTCCAGAGACCTCCTTCTCTTACTTCTCCTCCTCCTCCTCCTCCTCCCCTCCTCGTTCTGCTCCTCCTCTGGCTCCTCTTCTATCTCTGTACGTTACGAATAATTTTCGCGTGTCGCACCACCAGACGCGTCAGTAGGACATGCAAGGCGTTTCGCTCGAGGCGTCCTTGCAGTGTATCGTCCTGAAGCTTGAAGAACTCCGACACTAGCAAACATGGAGGGCCGGCCGATTCTAAAATGCGGATCTCGCCTCAGAGCCGTGCGCACTCGCCCCACAACTTTCTATCACTTGCAAAAACGGAGGCAGGCTCGTTTTCAAAAATGGGGCTCTCGCCCTCGCGCCGCGCACGCTTACCACAGAAACCTCTCACAACTGCAACGATGGAGGGCCAATCGTTTCCAAAATGCGGCTCTCGCCCTCCGCCGCGCACGCTCGTCTGCACATCTTCCAGCAATTCGTGGAGGCCGGCTCGTTTCTCGTTTTCGAGCTGGAGGGCCAATCGTTTCTACAATGCTGCTCTCGCCTTCGCGCCGCGCGCGCTCATCTGAGCATTTTCCAGCAATTCATGGAGGCCGGCTCGTTTTTCGTTTCCAGACTGGAGGGCCAGTCGTTTCTACCATGCGGCACTCGCCTTCTCGCCGCGCGCGCTCGTCTGAGCATTTGCCAGCAATTGCAGGACTGGGGGCGGTGCGTTTTCAAAATGGACCTCTCGCCTCGACGCCGCACGCGCTCGCCTCAAACACTTCCAACAGTTACGCCGGTCACGGACGGCTCCTTTTCAGAAGAGAGGCTCGCGTTTTTTTTTTTTTTAGGGAGAATCAAACATGAAGGCCCGAAACTTACCATTCTGCAGCCGCTACACGGATGGAGGGCGCGGCCTTTTCTTTCAATGGGGCTATCGCTCTAGACCCCGCCGAGCTTTCAGACAAGACCCCTGCAAGTGCGCAGCGCTTGCGCGGATGGAGGGCGCATCCTCTCCGAAACGGGGCTGCCGCTGGGGACTTCCTTGAGCTTGCTGGCCCTGCATCTGTGCGCTTCTCACAGCTCCAAGGATGGGAGGGACCTGTAGCAGCGCGGTATCTCGCCAGAGGGGCAGGTCGCCGGGGCGTTCGTCCATCAAGGTTTCGGTCGGGCGTGTCCCCCTACAGGTGGATTTTGGACGACAAAATAAAACATGCCCCACATTTGCACCACAAGAATTCAAAAATGGTAAAGCAAATCGTCCCCAGACTATTATTTTTTACTATTTTTGAATATTCCCCCTGCTCCTGTAGAGGGACAGGCCCGACTTAATCCTACGTCTGTGCGCTTCTCACAGCTCCAAGAGTGGGAGGGTCCGGTAGCAAAGCGGCATCTCGCCTGAAGGGTAGGTCGCCAGGGCGTTCGTCCACAGGGTGGGCGCCTCTCGCAGTGGAACAATAAAAATACCAGCGGGGAAATTTTGAGGAGGGGCTCTGGGAAGGGAGGTTACGTTGCAGTATCGTTGATGCATCTCGCGTTTACTCTGGCTGCCCTCTTCCTCTTTCTCCTCCTTCTCCCCCTCCCTCTCATCCCCCTTCTACTTCCCCTCCTCCCTTTGCACCGGACAAGCGATGGCTTGCGTGAGCCGTCGCGTCTTAACACGCACGAAGCAATACAATACGATAAGAGCCACGCGCGATGCAGCCAAAGCGTGCGACAGGAGTGCGGCACGGAAGAGGGATGGCTGAGGGGAGCGGGAGCAGATGGAGCCCTGCCCTCCTCATCGCCGCCCCGCTCCCCCCCTCTCCCTCCCCCCCCTTCTGCTCGGGCCTGTGGTGCTCACCTTCGTGGTCGCATTGCGCACGATCTCGGCCGCCAGCTTCGAAGGCCCGCGCTTCGGCGCCGACTTGCACGCGCGCTGGATGTACGCGCCGGCGATCACGGCCTCCGCCTTCGGCGTGCCCGTGTGGACCACCGCGGTGGTCAGCGGGTAGGGCAGGGCCTCGCGCGAGGCGGCGAGGGGGCCCCTCGCTCCCCTCCTCCTCCTCCTCCTCCTCCTCCTCCTCCTCCTCCTCCTCCTCCTCCTCCTCCCCCTCCTCCTCCTCCTCCTCCTCCTCTTCTTCCTCTTTCGCCTCCTTATCTCCTCCTGCTTGCCATTCTCTTGCGCCCCCTGTCTTCCGCCCTCTCCTCCCCCTCCTCCGTCATTATGTTGCTCCTTCGCTTCTCATCCAGGCTCTCCTCCTCCCTCCTCCTCCACTTTCTTCTCATCCTTCCCCTTCTCTTCCTCCTCCTCCTCCTCCTCCTCCTTCCCCTGCTCCCTCCTCCTCCTCCTCCTCCTCCTTCTCCTCCTCCTCCTCCTCCTCCTCCTCCTCCTCCTCCTCCCTCCCTCCCTCCTCCAGCTCACCCTCCAAACCCCCGTCCTCCTCCTCCTCCTCCTCCTTCTCCTCCCGCTCCTCCTCCTACTCCTCCTCCTCCTCCTCCTCCTCCTCCTCTTCTTACCCCTCCTCTGACGCGATGATAGATAACCTGTCTGCAAAAAGAGAGGGCCTGAGCCATTCGTCAGTCGCGACGCGAATGCTCAAACTGACTGCTGCTACGTCTCGGCGTGCGGGTCCATCCGCTGTCGATGTGTCATTGTAACAGTTGGGTCTGGAGACAAGCGTTTACCTCTACGCCGTGCCACGCTTCATGGCTTGCACTGCGTACGCTCTTTGTAGAACCGCTGTATTAGGCATGTGGGCTCGACGCCCCTCCATCACTGCCAACGTCTCCTGGGCCCAGCGACAGGGAGCGCCGCATGCAAGACCCCAGCCAGGCGATGCCAAAGCTCCAGGAGTCGCCTCCGCAACTCGTCCGAGGGTGTGTCCCGCACGCAGGATCACTCCCGCCTGGTCGAGCTGGGCTCTTTAGCCCAACGGAGCTCACGTCTCGCCGCCCGCTGGCGTGTGTGGCGAGGCCCACGACCACCTGGTCACAGCGACCCGCTTGGCCAACGCTTGGGCCCAACATGGCCGGCGAGGTCAACCCAGGGCGCTCCTAGGAGTGAGCCTCTCGAGCAAGGACGGTGCTGCCCCCGCGCCTGGATCGCCTGCGCTGGCGCGGTGCTACCCGCAGCCATTACATCAAACTCCTTACTGTCAAGATTCCGTGTGGTGCCACCCGCGACCGTCACATCAAACCATAATCCTCGGGATGTGAAGCGGTGCTGCCCGCGACCATCAGCCGGACGGACTGTGCGATCCTCTCCAAGGCCACAAGGACCGTAGTGGCTTGCAACCTGAGTGCGCCCTTTCCACACCTACTGTGTCTTAGGCGCCAGTGGACTTACCGCATGCAGGTCTATGTACCATCGCCGCCAACAGCCCCTCTCACAGGCGGCGAAGCGGAAGTCGCTTGACTAGGGAGTCCACCCTCTCGGCTGCATGCGCCTGCGTTCCGATGTTGGCTCGGTTCAGGAGCGTGTGCACGATCGCGAGCTCGAGCTCCTGGTTCCTCAGCGCTTCCTGTACCCACAGCTCCTTGATCGCCAGATGCGGACCTGGCCAGACTCTACCCAGGCGCAAATGCCTCGCGCATCCGAACTGTCTGCCACGGACATGTCGCTCGCCAATCCCGTCTGGCACAGGATCTGGCTCGTCTGCTTCCCAATCGCCAACGCGCGCAAGATGCCGTAGAACTCGGCCTCACCGCTGGACAGCGCGATCGTCGCCTGCTTGGCGACGCTGCCGTCGAGCATATGGTCCCTATGCCTTTCCACCGCGCACGAGATAGACTTCCTCGTGAACTCGTCTGCTGCCCAGTCCGTGTCCGTGTAGACGCACAGACCGCGGGGCTCCTTCTGGAACCTGGAGAGACACACTTCCGTCGGGCACTTAAGCGCGTAGCGCGCTACGCGCTGCAGCTGCAGACCGTGCAACACATACGGCATGCTCATCGCGGCCATTATCTGCGACGTGGCGAACTGGATGGGTGAGCCGTGCTGGCGCCCTGCTCGAAGCCCATCGCGGCCTCGCCCTCCAGATCGTCGTCCCCGTCGCGCATGCCGGCGCCCTGCGAGTCCTCATCGAGCCCTGCCAGGCTCAGGAGATCCTCCCCGCACCTGGGACTCGCCTCCCACTCGAAACCCTTGGGCGTCCAGCGTTCTCCCCCCCAAGTGTTGCCGTTCTGCCGCCTCGCCGCCGTGCGCCGGCGGCCCGATCGGTGCGGAGATCTTCGTCTCAGTGTTGCCGTTCTGCCACCTCGCCGCCGTGCGCGAGCGGCCCGATCGGTGCGGAGGTCTTCGCCTCGAAGTGCGCGGTCAACGCCCGGGTCGATCTCGTCCAGGGCGAGCGCGGCGCCTGCCGTCGGGAGGTCGTCGCCGTGGCAGCACGCGGCGCACCCGAGACGCTGTCGGGGGCGAGCATCAGGGGCGCCGCCATGACGTTCCTGCTGTGGCAGGCCTGGAGGTTGGCACCAACATCAACTTCGGCGGTGTGCCTCCACCAAGGTCGGGGAGACGTAAGACTCGGGTACGGGGGACTCGGGTTGGCCCGACGGGGCCATCATAAAAATGACGAGGCCCACTCTGAAATTTGACGCGAACTCCCGCTGCAGACATCCCACGAAAACTGGACCGTCAAAATCCAAGACGCGCTCGTCAAAAAACACGTCTGCAAACCCGAGTTCCGGCTTACTCGTTCTTGCGTTTCCCCGACAAGGGAAGACGACCCCGATCTCGGTGATGGTGGTAATATTCTGGCTTCCAAGGTGGCCGAAACATTACCACCAACACCGGAATCTAGGATCATCTTCACCCTGTGGAGGCGACCCCCTGTGTTGGTGTTGGTGCCCATTTCCAGGCCTCCAGTGTTGCCCTTGATTTTCATGGCGTCGGTGGCCGCATTGCCCCGCCACTTGCTGGCCTCGCGCGCCCTGTGCATGGCCTTCAGAGCTCGCCGGCCCACGCCGGGAGGCGCCGAGCCACGAGGCGGAATGATCACCGCCCTCCCCAGCCCAACGGCGTGAAAAAACGCCGCTCGGATGTCGTGCTGACCAAACAGCCAGTCGTGCTGCCCCTTGGATGTGGTCTTGCGTGGCCGCCGTGCCCGCGATCATCCCAGAGATCCGACGTCGTGATTTTTTCAATGCGGGGTCCCCGGAATTCTCGACCCAGTCCCCAGGACCAGTTTTTCGTCCCGAGTCGTTTTTTGACGTTCCCGAGGCCCGGCGAGGGTCCCTAAGGGCCGCAATTGGCGAAAAACCTCCGTCTTGATTTGTGCAATGCGTTGGATCTCTGGGTCTCCCTTGGATGGTCTTGCGTGCCCGCCGTGCCCGCGATCATTCTGGGCGCCTTGATCGGCGTCGTGGCCGGGGCAACGTCTTTCCGTGTGTAGGTTTAGGTCGGCCGTATCCTCTTATAGGCAGGTTTTGGAGGACAAACAAATGAAAAAATAGTCCAAATAATATGCGAAAATGGCATTCTTGAGAATATAAAAAAATCGTCCCCTGACTATTGTTTTACTATTTTGGAGTATTCCTCCTGTAGAGGGACACGCCCGACCTAATTTTAAGCCGGGCATGTCGCTCTACAGGAGGAATATATTGAAACATGGTCAAAGAACATACTCAGGGGACGATTTTTTGAATATTTTTGTTGACCATTTGGGGGTATTCTTTGTGATTATCTTATATTTTTCGCCCAAGGGCCCTCTGCAAGAGGACAGGCCCGACTTACAGCTACTGGTCTCGAGACCGTCTGGGGCCGCCGGGATTGCTGTCCGAGGGCTCCCCGGGGCGATTTTAGGCCTCGGGGCCCCGGGCCCCTCGGGGTCCCGGCCCTGGGCCCCCGGGCCCGGTGCGCCGCCATCTGTATACAGACGTTGGATCTCTGGGAACACGGATCGGGTGTTGCTAGAAGTGCCCCTGGCCCAAGGTGCCCCCAGCCTTTCGATCCATTCTGGAGCCCCTGGGGCCCTCTGGGGCTCGTGAGGGGTGCCCTGGAGGCCTCCTGGGCCACCCCGAGAATCCTGGGGGCACCTTGGGCCAGGGGCACTTCTAGCAACACCCGAACGGAGAGGGAGCGGACCCACCCGCATCTCCGTGCAGGGGTTCAAGCTTTCCAGCCGCCCAGGGACAGGCGCCCCCGACGGCGAACAAGCTTATTTCATACCGCTCTTCGCCCGTTAAGTATACAGACGTTGGATCTCTGGGAACACGCAGTCCCAGACCCCCGACGTCATGATTTTTTCATGACGCGACCCCCGTGGACCTATTCGCCGGGACCGGTTTTTCACCCCGAGTCGTTTTCTGACGGTCCCGAGGGCCGGCAAGGGCCCCCGGAGGCCGAAGACATAGAAAACCCTCCCGTCGTGATTTTTTCAGGACTCGAGGGGGTCTGGGGAGGGAGCGGACCCACCCGCATCTCCGTGCAGGTTAGATGCCTCCTAGATGGGGTCCGAGTAGATGGGTTCGGAAGATCGCGCCGCGTCGCCGATACATCGGCGATGCATCGGCGATTCACCGGCGATGCATCGACGACGTCGGCGATGCATCGGCGACGCCAGCGCGAAGACAATCGGGCTCCGCATCGAGCCGCATCGCCGATGCATCGACGATGCGGCACGATCCTCCGACCCCATCCACTCCGACCCCATCTAGGAGGCCTAGACAGGTGCACGGGAGCGGGCCCCCCGGGAGCTCCCCGCCGGCCTGCTGCCGGGGCAGCCGCGGGGGGCCGCCCGTCGCCCGAGATGCGGGCCGAGGCCGGCCCGGTGGCGCCTGCCGCCGCACCGGCGGCAAGTCGCGCGCCGGTCTGCGGCTCCCCCCGGCGAGGTGCAGAGGTCCAACGCATTGAGAAACAACAGGACGGGGGGCTTTTCGCAACTTTCGGCCTCCAGGGGCCCTCGCCGGGCCTCGGGGCAGTTTTTTTTGTTTTTTTTGTTTTTTTTTGTTTTTTGTTTTTTTCTCGTAGTTTTTTAGTGTGTGTGTGTTTTTTTTTTTTTGTGTTTTGCTGTTTTTCCCACGAGAAGCTAACATTCAAAAGGTTAAGAGGCTCTGATCAAGCCCGCCGCCCCGTGCGCAGGACGGCGCGCGCCTCCAGGGGGCCACGATACCAAGATTCGCAGACGAGTCCACGCAACCGGTGCTCCAATGTAGCCAGACGACCTGGTCTTGAGAGCTCCGCGAAGGCGGCCAGCTCCCGCCCGGCGGGGGGGGCACATCCTGCCCCCCCTCGGGAGCACGAGGGCGGACAAAAATCCTGACAGCGCGCGGCCTCGGGACCGTCAAAGAACGACTCGGGACGAAAAACCCGTCCTGCAGGGACCGGGTTTAAGTCGGGCCTGTCCTCCTACAGGCGGATTTTGGACGAAAAATGCAAGATACCCTAAACATGCCCTCCAAAATGTTCAAAAATAGTCCAAAATCGTCCCCAGACTATTTCTTGACTATTTTTGAATGTATTCCCCCTGTAGAGGGACAGGCCCGACTCAAGACTGGGTCGAGGCTCCCGGGGGCCCCGCATTAAAAAACCCACGGCGTCGGATCTCTGGGTCCCCCAGCGCGGTGCCCCCCGCGGCCGGGGCCGCCGCCTTGGCTTTTGGGGCCCCCTGAGATCCTGGCGACCCGGGTTTTTCGAGCCGGGCGCTTTCGCCCAATTTCTTGAGCAGACACCGACCGTCCCGGCATTCCTATACTCCTACCATGAAATGTTCTTAGAACCCAAGCATGTTCTCATAACAAAAAACAGCGTTCTTGGAACATTAACGCGATGTGTTAAAACAAGACAGTCTCAACCAGAAGTGTTCTAATAACATTTCGTGCAAACCTCAAAAGGGTCTTAGAACATTTGTTGGTAGGCCTATAGGCGAGCCAGGACGCTTCGCCACTGCTTGAGTTTCGGGCCCCGGGACCCTCACAGATCGATCCGGCTTCAAAAATGGCGCAGGAACACGGGGTCCAAGGCTCCGGTCGGATTTCTCACGATGTCTCAATTTTTGCGAGTCGTCGGATCTCAGGGGGCTCCCAGTCCATGATATCCTGGAAGCGTGCCCGGCAATGAGGCGGGTGCGCCTTCGACTGTCCGAAGCACGCCGGGCACCCTGGACGGCCGCCGCGCTGGGTCTGTCAGTCTAGCGCGATGTAGACGCCCCTTGGCGCTGCCGCCTTCGGCGCATGTCTGGCGCCCTTCGGATTCCAGGGCTCGCCGACCATGGAGTCCAACCAACCCGCACTTTCTGGGCGCCTTCAGATGGATCGCCATCGGCGCGCCCCAGCGGGGGTGTGGCTCGTCACGTTGTGTTTGCCCGTGCTCATTGCGCGTGCCGTTTGAACATGTTGGGATTGCCCCTTCGATGGCCGAATCCACTGGCACTTTTCTGACAGGGTCCCTCGCAGCACCCGCGGTGGTCTGGCATCATGGCATTTGCACTTCGTTCGCCTGCGGGCCGCTCGGCTTGCAGGGATATGGTGGACCCACGGGCGCTCAAGTTCACTGGGGTACAACCAAAACGTGCATTAATGAAGGGGCCCTGGAACACACAAATAAATACACACAAATAAAAGGATTCCCAATATTTTCTCATATTTTCTGGGTTTTTGGCTTCCCCCCCCACTTCCCATATCTCATCTTTTCCTGGGAATCGAAGAATAATTGTGTCTGTGTGTTTCTTTCCCTCCTGAATTAAGGGCGGGTGGTAAGGACGCAAGACCCTTGGAGGCCGCAGTGGGGATCTGTTGGACGGCGGGCGACGCGCCCAGCGCCCACCCGTCGTCGAGCTTGGGCCGCGAGTGGGGCGCCTCCTGCGGGTCTCGGCAGCAGGACCCCCCCGAACTTCGGAACCTGGCCTCGGTGGGGTCGCTCGCGAAGCCCCTCGCAGGCCGGAGGGATGAGGAGGGAGGGAGGGAGGGAAGGAGGAGGGAGGAGAGGAGGAGGAAAGGGAGGGAGGAGGAGGAGGGGAGGAGGAGGGGGAGGAGGAGGAGGAGGAGGAGGAGGAGGAGGAGGAGGAGGAGGAGGAGGAGGAGGCTGACCACGAGTGGCAGGACTGAGAGGGGCCCCAGGACACACAAACAAAATACACACACATAAAAAGGATTCCCCATCTTTTCTCATCTCTTCTGGGTTTCTGTCTCCCCCCCCACTTCCCATATTCTTCCATACTTTCTGGGGAGCCGACGATCGATTGTGTCTGTGTGTTTTTTTCCCTCCTGAAGGACCTTTCGCTTTCAGCCCACCGTCTGGTTGTGGCACTGCTCGCAACGAGGCCGGAGCGTCCGGAGCTGCCTCTCGGCCTCGCAAAACGCTCGCGCGCTGCCTCCTCAGCTGGCGCTCGACTTTATAGAGTGTGCAGCAGCGCTGTCTCGTGGGTGCGGCTGTGCTGGACGTTGTCGGCCAACTTCTTGACGGCGCTCTCCTTGCCGCAGAGAGTCGCCGCGCGTGTGCGGCCCATGTATTTCAAGGCCTCGATGACGACGGCCTATGCGTGCGGGCCGCCGCCATTGGCCACCGCCGCTGCGAGCGCGGCGCCGCTGGGCATGTCCAGGCAGTCGAGCGCGGACTTCGACCGCATCGGGTCGGTGGCCGTCACCCGGAAAACAACAGAATCCGTGCCTCACCTGGTGTCGCCTTCTGTCGCGTCAGGCCGCGGCGATGAGCGTTGTCGCTGGCATCGCCCACCGCGCAGTGGGGGCGCCGCGAGCGGAATTCGGCAGGCGCGTGATCTGGCGCGCTGCGAAATCGGCCTTCGACGCCTCCAGGGGAAGCTTCTCGTGCTCTCCTCGCTCTCCGCAGCTGGGCCAAGGCGGGGCTGCCCGCGCCCCGACTGCCGCCGGCGGTCCTGACCTCCTGCTCGGGCCCCCGTGTGCGCCAGGACCCTGCGCCGTGGCCTGCTGGACCTCAGCAGCTGGCCGCGCAAACGCAGGGGGGGCGCTGCATCCTGCGGCTCCTGCACCTGGCACGGCAGCCAATGCACCCCGCGGTGTTTCTCCAAGCTCGCCGCGTTGGGAGGTTGGGGGATCCGATGGAATTCTGGAGGCGCCTCGCTGGGCAGCATCGCCTGGTGACCCGGGTCGAGGTGGAACTACTTTTCCTGGCCTGCCCCTGCCTGCGTCGGCAGGCAGTGGGCAGAGCTCCTGGGAGAGCGGAGGTCGACGCGTGCTCTCGCTCTTCGGCAGTGCCGACAGCGGCTGGCGGCGGTGGGACCCCCGGGGAGGGTGCGCTCGGTCTTCCTCGGGTCTCGGCAAGCGGTCCCCGTGTGTTTTCCGCCGCCGCGAGGTCTCGCAGTCTCCTGCTAGAGAAGCACTCGTTGTCATGCCTTCCTGCTCTAGAAACGCTCGTTGTCGCCTGTTCGGAGTTTTTTTTCCGCCGGCGCACTTGCCTGCCTTGTCCTTGCCTTTAAGGCACCCTTCGGATCTTTGCCTCCTTTGAGCTTCCCGCCTTTGGGGTGTTTGCCCCCCCTCGGGGTGGCTCCGAGATGCTTAGTCGTCGGCTGACTGTCGATGTGCTGCTGGGTCTGTGTGATCCCCAAGATCTTCCCGCACATCTTGGGCCACGTGTCGAGACTGTCGAAGTTCTGAACCAAGTGCTCCTTGACCCTGGAGTTCTCCATGCCCAGCAGAACCACGCCGATGTTCACGTCGTCGCCAATCTTCTTGTTGGACTGGCTCTCGTAGTCGCGCACGAGGCGCTCGATGGCTGCGAGAGCACTGGGGGGTGTCTCCCGTGTCCCACTCTATCACGAACGGGCGCCACGCCTCGATGCCTTCGTTCAGACCCGCGTTCCTGCCATCGCTCGGACGTCCATTCCCTTTTTTTGGGGGGGGGGGGGTCGTGCGTGTTTTTTCCGCCAAATGGTCAAGGATGCTCCTCGATGGTCCTCGCCGACGGAAAAATGCACACGTCCGAGCGATGCCAAGCGTTGTGACATCCGTCCAGCGTCGACCCAGGCGTGGCCATCACGCGGATGCAGTGCAGCTGCGTGCCGAGCCTGTCGACCTCTGGCTCCCTCGCCGCGTTCCTGCCCGTGGCCTGCGACCGCGCTGCCTCCATCACAACTTCGCCTGGCACCTGTGGGCTACGGCGCCGAGGTACGACCTCCTCTTGAAGCTCCCGTCCGCGGACTTCGTCGAGTCGCCCGCGAACCCGACGGGCTTGCCGACGATTCTGCTGCCGATCACCCCGCTCGGAGGAGGGGCCGCCAGCTCCACGCGAGGCGCTTGCCTGGCCTGGTTGAGCTCTTGCTGGAGCTGCTGAGGACGAGGACGAGAAGGAGGAGGAGGGGGAGGAGGAGGCGGAGGAGGAGGAGGAGGAGGAGGAGGAGGAGGAGGAGGAGGAGGAGCAGGAGCAGGAGGAGGAGGAGGAGGAGGAGGAGGAGGAGGAGCAGGAGGAGGAGGGGGAGGAAGAGGACCTCTCGCCCTGGAGCTGCTGCACCTCCAGTGTCTGCAATCGGGCGTTCAGCGCCTCCACCGCGGCGCGCAGATCCTCCGTGGCGCCACGGTGCGGGGCTACCCGCTGCCAGGTGCCCCGTCCTGCGCCTCGGCGCGGGGCCGCCCGCAGTCCGATGCGCCAGCCTGCGCGCCGAACCGCAGCGCACGCGGGCCGCAGCCCTGCGGGTGGATCGCTGCCCGTTCTCGGTGGGCGGTGCGGCGATCAAGACTGCCGAGCCGTGTGTCACCACGGTTCCGCTACAATGACGTGATGACAGATCGCTTTCCTGCCGAGGGAGAGGGGCCTGAGCAAAACTTCAGTCGCGACGCGAATGCACTCAAGCTGACTGCTGCTATATGTGGGCGCGCCGGCCCATCCGATATCGATGCGGCGTTCCGTGTACCAGTTTGGTCCTGAGGCAGCCATTCACCCCTGCAGCGTGCCACCCGTCATAGCTTGCACCACGTACGCTCTTTGCACAATCGCTGTATCAGGCATATGTTAGGCATGTGGGCCCGACTCCTCCTCCTCCTCCTCCTCCTCCTCCTCCTCCTCCTCCTCCCTCCTTCCCCCTCCCCCCTCCTCCTCCTCCCTCCTCCCTCCTCCGTCCTCCGTCCTCCTCCTCCTCCTCCTCCTCCTCCTCTTCCTCCTTCTCTCTGGCCTTGAATTTTGGGTCGTTGATCTGGCAGCCAACCTTGGAGGAGTACTGCCACAGCTCGCAGGTGACCAGCGACAGGCAGGTGTGGTTGCACTGCCTCGCCGCCTCGTCGACGCTCTGGCCTTGGCCCAGGCTGGAGTGAAAGATCCCTCCCTGCCACCCTCCCTCCCTCCCTCCCTCCCTCCCTCCGGGCTGCCAAGGTTTCGCGCTCCTCTCGATCTCTGGCGCCGCCCCTCGGAGAAAAGCAGCTCTGTCACGCAGACCGTGAGGCGCGGTAGCTTCGCGCCTCCCCCGAGTGACCCGGAAGAAGCGGGACGCGAGCAGGGGACCCCCGAGGGGGGGGGGGGGAAGGACGACCTATGGCCTGGCGAGTGGGGAGGAGGGCTGATGAACAGCGGCACCTGAAGGGTGGAGAGGAGGAGTAGCACGAGGAGAGTGGCAAGGAAATTGGGAATGGGGGAGGTGCTGGGTGAGTGTTGGGGACGGGAGGGGGAAGGGAGAAGGAGCAGGAGGAAGTGGAAGGGTAGTATAGGAAGGAGTGTAGGAGATAGAACGGAGAGAAACTTGTGCCTCCTCCTCCTCCTCCTCCTCCTCCGCCTCCTCCTCCTCCTCCTCCTCCTCCTCCACAGTTACTCAATATGAATACTACTCTCCCTCTTCCCCTGATGGCGTCCTGGGAGTAGTAGACCCCCCCCCGCGTACTGTTTTTTTACACACAGGATTCGCGGGAGTTGGGTTTTCGCCTGCGTTTTTTTCAAAATGCTGCTCTCGCTGAGGCGCCGGCCTCATTTCTGCTCCCGAATCGTTCCGAATCGTGCTCCCGCTGCAGCGTGGGCCTCATTTTCGGATCGGTGTTTTGCCTCCGTCGTTCAGGATGGCGTTCTCGCCCCAGCGCGGGCCTCTTTCTCGCGCGCCCATCCGCCCGCCACCACCGCGCCGCACCACGCCCCGCCCCGCCGCACGCACACCCACCGCCACTGCCACCCACCAACGCACGCACGCACGCACGCGCACCACCACCGCGCACCGCCACCACCACCGCACTACCCCACCCACCACCACCACGCTACACCGCGTCACACCACATCACACGCGCGCACACACAGACACACACGCACGCACGCACACACACACATACACACGCACACACACACACACCATCTCCCAAGGCTGGTCAGGGCCAGTCTTTTTTGAGCATCTTACTCTTATCTCATCCCATACATATATCCCATAGCATCTCCTCTATTCTGTCTCCTTCTGTGGTGTACTGCGAGTGCTCTGACCCCACGTCCGAGAGCCGGGCGTGACAGAAACCGAGGCCGGCGACGGCCGAGAGAAAAAAGACAGGAATCGTCGCAACGCCAGGGGCTGGGGGTTAGCACGTGCCGCAGTTGCAAGATAGGCTCCTTGGAACTTTATCGTATCTTCGAGTCTTTCGACTTCCGCGCTGACTTCATCGAGATCTTCGGTGTGGAGGTGTACAGAAGGGGGTCTGTCGTAACGGCGCTTCGCGTGGAGGGTTGTCGTAACGGCGGTCTGGGAGGAGGAGGTGTGTAACAGTATTGGAAACACAATACCGTGCTTGTACCGCATCGTGTGGCAGTACGGGACAAAACTCAGTTTCATACAGATCGATGTTTTCTGCAAAATTTGTTTGGGAGTTCTTCGGGCGTCAGTATTCAGATGCACTGTGGTTTAGTTGTGGGGACATGGCCAAGCTGTTGGGTAAGATGCCAGAGAAGCAACTGTATACGTGCTTCGCGCGAGTCTTGCATAGCAGAGGCTACCGCGGTGAGGTCAAACCGGAGGCGCTCGCATGGTTCTTGCATAGATGGGCACAGTCAGGCTTCGCCGGTCCTCTGAACCATGGTGAGCTTAGGCAACTATACGGTTTGCTTGGTGCTTGGGCGTTCTCCAGTGACGTAAAGAGCTGCAGGCGGGCGGACGGTGTGTGGTCGCTGATGTGTTCATGTTCCCAAGTGCTTGCGCTACATGAACTTTTTTGGAAGAGTGATCATCGACACTATCTAAGAGTAGTTCTCCGTACTTTTCCTGAGCAGGTACAGAAAGCAATCTTACACCGCGATCTGACTTCATCATCGTGGAAGTTATATATAATGCACTTGTTTTTCGCGATTTGGTTGCCTTTGCAGTTCCCCCGGGAATCCGCGGTATATACTGCATGGATGTCGAAATGTCCATCATGGTATGTTGGTAAGGCCAATGTGATTAGGGTGCACAACACGGGCTGGACGGAATCAGGACTTATGCGACGTTTTCAAGAACATATGCTTGCGATAGTTCGTCCACATCATGGTAATTACACATACGATAGGTATAAGACTTGGGGTAAGTATGTACAGGCAGATTTTCGATGGGTAGCTGTTTTTTGGGCCAACGAAACGAACGCGTACGCTTTTGAGAACACGGTGATAAAGCACTTGACCCCCCCGACCCAGAAAGCTGCGCATACGTGTAAGGACATACAGGTTGACCGTCTGCGCGCATGGCCGAGGATGAGAGTGAAACCTTCGTTGAGTCGCGAAGTGGAGCTCAATGTGCAGTTGTATTTCCGTAGGTTGAAGTCTGACGGGGATGGGGCGTTCTCGTTTGCTGTTGGATATGGTAACGGGCGTCGGCATGCTGAGCATGATGACGGACGCCACTGCCAAGATTTTCAACAGCTGACTGCATGGTTGAAGTTTCGTGGACTGGAATTGTCTACTGCGCGCATGTATCAATGCATGTACACTGTATTTTGTGCTGTATGGTTAGCTCTGTACTTATCCGAGAGGAACACGCACCTAGATTACCAAGCGGTTTGGAAACACCCCAACCCGGTCCGTCTCTGTTTGGTGGTCTGGAAGCACTCTTTGGGACTAAGCTTACAACGAGCAGCACGAGTACAACGCAAGATATTTAGATTTCTATCGTCTAGTGGAATTTTCTCTGTAAAAGTACGGACTATAAGAGTATGTACATATTCTGATCGGCTTGTACAACAAGTAAAACGTGTAGTACGGCAGATCGTGTGGGGAGTCGCTCGTTCCCAATACCCTGAACTGGCGTTGTTTCTAAAGAGTCGTATTCGTGTCGTGCAAGTTCGCCCGAAACGTTACATCGACCTCGTGCAAGGCAACATCCAGTGGGCCCAGCAATTTAACCTTCAGAGTCTCCTGCATCTTGATCGCGAGGCACAGGCAGCATATGATCGCAGGCTTGACGTTACGAAGCGTGATGAATATTGGGATTTACCTTGCCCCGAAAACCGTGATAAAGTACGAGAGGCTGTTGAAACTCAGATTGTGCAGTTGCTGACGGATTTAAACTTACCATATCTTGTTGGCACCAGCCTGAGATGGGTGGACACTGTCGATTGGACGATCCAGCCGGTTGTAGACATAACCCAGTGTTATGAATGGCCGGCACAGCACCAGGTTATGGTACATTTGGACAAGAACCCCAGGCAAAAAGCAGTTGCTGATAAGGTTGGTTATTTTTGGCGGCTCGCCAGAGGGTTTCTAGATGATGATCATTATCGAGTTTGCCCAGGAGAATCGCCTTCCACCCTAGTTGAACGAAAAGCTGAACTCTATGCTCGGTATGTGCCGGCGCGGTGGCGGAAAACTGCAGTACAGCGCTGAGCATTGCCAGTACGCGTACCACAATTATAAAAACAAATGCCATAGTACGCACGGCGGATTGCGATGCAACAAAACGCACACGCACGACAGAGAAATTATTTCAGATTGGAAAAATCCACACAGGCGCTTCTTCAAGCTTATTGCGCGGAGTATCCGGATATTGCAGATGAACTCAGGACGGGCATCTTGGACGATTTGGCGCCAGCTTGAACTGAAACAGGTTGTGCAGCATAGGGTTGCGCATCTCATCGATGATTCGCGCTGGGCGCATTGTTGCCCAGGCTGCCGGTGCGCGAAAACTCAGCAGTTGCAAATGGTAAAGCTTGATGCGGCTCAGTTCTTCAAGGCAGCGAGCATCCAGCGCGGCATTTCTCGAGTGAAGGATCTGATTGAGCACGTGCAGAAAAAGTCGCATCATGATGCGGTTCTCGTGTACCGCACACCAAGAGTGCAGGGGAAGCTGATTAGTGCCAGTCAGAGCAAGTTGGCGGCAACCAGGCTGGGATCCAGGGATTACGATATTATTTTGTTTTCCGAGATCTTGGATTGTCTTGATCTTTGTCTACATGAAGATCGATTTCTCCTAGGCGGGCTTGTCATCCAGAGGCTTGGTGGCTGGCCCATGGGGGGGAGTCTATCCGAACCATGTACAATGGTGGATCTCAATGCCGACGTGCACAAATGCGACTCCTCGCCACAATTCTTACGTGATATTGGATTGCTAACTGATGATGTATGGTACCCTTTTGATCAGATTCTCACTGGAGTATTGCATGTTGACGATTTAGTAGCGTTCTCTAAGGTGTATTGTGCTGGTTGCATCAGCAAGTTCATCTTGTCCATTTTCCCCAAGGACGTAGGATTTGAGGAGGAGGACAGAGGACCAACCATGAGAGTGTTATCGACTGTCATCCACATCGATGCGGACTCTAGGATGCATTTCATGCCAATGAATGCGAATGTCGGGTTCGGTCTGGGCACCTCTCCGGTCCAGGCGCTGTTGAAGTTCGGGCAATTCTACCACCCCTCACTCCAAGGTTTCAGGCCGTTTCGTGAATACTTAATGGGGGTGATTCTCATGATGAACAAGTTGGTCTCAGGGTCTACTGAGTACACGCTCCCATTTGTCTTTGCAGTGTGCTTTGAACCGATTCGTTTGTCGTGGCCGGCCGCATATGTGTGGAAGACGCTCAAAAGCATACCACGTCGTCACCAAACCCCTTTCACGATTGCCGTGCGGCAGTTTGGGCGAGCAATGAAAAGAGGCTTTTGGCCCGAGCTATATTTGTTGGCTACACACCAGGCTAGCGAACTTGTTCCACGAACATTCTTTGTAGAGATGGCGAAAGGTGACAATGACACGAAGGGCGGCAAGGGTTACGGCCATCAGCGTCGTAACGACTCGGGTGGTTCTTGGGGCTTTACGGGAAAAGGTGACTACGCTCAGCAACGGGATCGTTGGGTTCAGCAGGCGCAGC